ATAATAAAACTGGTTTTCAGTTTAATGCATCAGCAGGATCACAGTATTTTCGAGTTTATTTTAAAAAACAAATTCATATTGGTCTTGTTCAAGTTTTAACACCAAGAAGCAACGTCAAACAGATTCGTTTATCTTATTTTGATGAATATAATCAAATAATAAAAAATTCAGAATTACAAGGATGGCCAATAAATTATATCAGTCCGTTCGGTCGAAAAAACAATGCATTGGATAAATTATGCCCAAATTTCATGTTTTATGGCATTCAAGTCGATCTTTTACAAACAGATCCTTCCAATTCACCAGTTCATAATGCAACATTAACAATTCATGTTCGAAATTGTGATGGAGTAGGCGGACGGATACGTAAGTTTTGATCGAAATAAATAAATCTAATTATTTTTCATTATTTTAGCTCCATGCGCTGAAACAAATATAATGTATCCACAAAATTTAGAAACATATAAATTTTTATCTTCCGGATGCTCATCTGATATGACGCAAGCTTATGAAAATCTTCCTGGTGAAAATTGTCAAGAAAAAAATCCAGCAATTTTAATCAAGTTTCAACAACCAAATCTAGCATATATTTCGACAATTGAGTACCAACGGGAATATGGTCAATATCCGGGAAATGTTCGACAAATTGAGGCAATATTTTTTGATGCTAATAACTCAATCATATTCGATGAAATTACTGGTGAACCAATACGTTGGATATCGTCAGAAAACAAACCAATTATTTCGGGTGATTTTCAAGATGTTCGTGGTTTAATATTGAAAGTATTAAAAACTGATAATGATACAAATGCTCAAAGAATTAGAGTTATAATGAATGGGTGTTATTCAGCAGGTTTGAAGATTAAATTTTAATACCAGTTGTACATTGTCTTTCCTGTTTAGTTAAATTAGGAACTTATATCATCCCTGAGCCAAGAACGACTCGAGTAGGTGTTACTATTGGTAAGCATATTTTATTAATGTATGTAGTAGTCAAATATTGAAACAATTACTTTTCTAGTGAGTTCATGTCCAAATCCAATTGATTTGATGGCAAATCCTTCAGGTAAAATACTATCAATGACTTTAAATGGAGAAGTTATACCCGATCTAAACTCGATTTCTTCTGCATCATCGGGATTGACTGCAAAAACGGGCGACAAACTTCAAACATGGACAATCGTTACAAATCTAATTGATACGGTAACCAGTATTGGATTAGTTAATTCACCAAACGTTATAGGACCGATTCAATATAAATTACATAATACCTTTCATGCTGTAAGTGAGATTACTGGAAATTATACTGGTCAAATCGTTCCGATTTATGCCAAAAATATTCGGCAAATAGTTATAACAACAAACATACCGACAACTGATAATCAACCACCTAAAAATTTGAAACTTATCTTAAATGGTTGCTTCAAACAAGAACAATTACGAACAATACCTCAAATTGAAGAAAGAATTTCAACAACTACATCAGGTTTAATCAATATTGAAACTTTTTACTTCTTAGAATTTTGACAAACTTTCTTCTAGTTGTTTCGTGTCTAAAAACAAATATTTTAACTCGCACGAATATGCAACAATTTTCATCTCCTGCAGCTCCATTATCTGATTTTTCACGTGCTTATGCAAATATGCGTGGTGAAGATTTAACAAACGCGCCATATAAAATTTACATGTTTTTTAATAATGTTATTTGTGTATCTGATGTGCTTGTTCAAATAACAGCTCCCGGACGAAGCACATCGAATGTTGCACAGATTGAGGTTAGTTATAAAACAAGCGATGGCTCTGACTTAAAATCAGCCAATGGAAGTCCGATTGTTTTACAATCACCTGTCAATAATCCAACAGTTACAGAAATTCCACTTCGATGTAATATTCAAGGAATTAACGTTACAATCTTAGGAACAACTGATCAAAAGCCACCATCTTTCGTTCGTTTGATTGTAGACGGTTGTTATGGACCACGTAAACAATTTTTCCTTGTAAATAAATGAAAATATCTTACTATACGATTTTAGTCATTACAATCCTGCCTCCAAGCAATATTTTTACGACAACACCACCAAGCTCAATGATTGGTAAGGTTTTTGTGTTAAAGATAAATCTTGTTTCTCGCACGACTTTTTTATTTCCAGGAAGTAGTACTGGTGTGCCATGTGAGTAGCTTTGAAGAGAAAATTTATTTATTAGAAGTTTTGTTTGCTAGCTTGCACAAAACCAATTGAAATGACTCGTTCCAATGATTCCTATTTTTCATCGATCATCGTCGACGGAGTATCATATTTGAAGGCACCGTATCCAACTTCATTCGTTATGAAAACGCCAACAATGAAAATTCAATTTGCCACCTTTCAACCAGTAAGACTGAAACACCACCCTAGTGAATATACTCATCAAGAGAGTACTCATTAGTAGTACTTGTGCTAGGATCTGAGTATCTGAGTACGACTATTGAGTGATGTCCCTATAAAATTGAGTGATTCTTTAGTACTCATGATACATTCTGCGAGTACTCTGGTGGGCTTTCATGAAATAATCAGACATATATTTTGTCCAACCTCCTTTTACTAGGTTCATTTTATTTATTTCATAATTAATGATAGAGCAACGACTTACACGATGAGAATCTGTGAAGCGGAGTGTTTGATCGTTTTAATTTTTTTAAATTATGATATAGACATAAAACGTTTATGCATATCAGAGACCGAAACAAATGGCAAAAATGCCATTCGATTCGATTCGGGTTTTTCGGACCTTGATTCCGATTCGATTTGGCTTTTTTGGACCTCGATTGGGATTCGATTCGGCTATTTTCGTTTTTCAAAATTGTAATTCGATTCGATTCGAGTAAAAACACGAAAAAAATCAACTCGATTCGATTCGACTCAAATTGGGTTTACAAAACATGGTATTCACTGTTACATAGTATTGTTGTTTTCAGACTGTCATCTTTTTAGAATGAGAATAGTCTGTCGATCTTCTATAGAAATATGTTGAATAAATATAATTTATCAATATATACATAAGAATTATTCATTTTTTTCAAGAAGGAATACATAAAATATAAATTAATGAGCACATCTAAGTAGACTAATTAAATAAGTTTATTTTCTATAGAACGAAGAAAAATAATGTCATTTACTGTATATGGATCTATATTTACAGTTGACCGTAGCCATACTTAATAAATAAAGAGGTTGATATCAAGACCCCAATCTCACTGGAAATGTGAATACAGTTTAAATCTTATTAAGTAATCTAATTGATACATTAAGAGTTAAAATCGCCTCTAAAAGATTACTTAACTCTTAATGCACCAGTCACATGCCTTAATTCAACTATAATGTTAATTTACTTCTCGGTGTGATTGGGGCCTAAATTGACTAACGAAAAAAGAAAGAAGGAAAGAAAGAATGAACGCTCGTTGTAAGTGAGCATTTATTATACCCATCAAAATATACTTGATCATGATAACGATATGAACAGAACAAGGATGACCATTAAATAACTACGACTGACAGAAACAAAGAAAGAAACAGTGAACGTCCTATTTCATTCGTTATCTTTTATACTAGTCAATTGCCCTCGACCATAACATCAGAACAAAGAAAATGATTTTGAATTGCTGAGTGAAACTGAAAAAAAATGAATCGACTCGATTCAACCTCAAAATAAATTAATTCGCTTCGATTTTGGTCTCTGACCCATATAATGTAAGAAAAAGTGAAATAAAAACATGCATTAAAAACACCACAACATATGTAAACAAAAACACAGCCACTAATGAGAAATAAATCATGAATCAAATTAAGATACGCGAGAACAATACACATTCACTTAAGATCGTTACAAAAAAAATAAACTTTAAAAATCGAAATCAAAAACCGTTAAGTAACAAACAGAAAAAGTTTGAACTGTCTTTTGTGTGATAAATCCTTCTTCACAACATAAAATTTCATGTTTTTGGAAAATTTTTCTCATGCATCTTGTTTTTTATTAATTATCAGAAAAAAATTTAATTCTATCTAAAACGATATTGCATCCTTGATTTAAGACATTCAGTTTAACAAATAATTTTACTTTTTCAAATAAATACTTTGTCTCACTCGAGAAATGAATAGCTGAAATGAAATGAATTTGCTTTCTTCTATTCTTTAAAAGCCACTTGAGTGATTCATCACAACATATAGAGAATAAAATTGACATTTTAATTTTAAAGTCCTTCCACAATTTCCCATTCATTATATAGTTGTTCTTAATTAAACAATATTACTTTATTTTCATGCATCCAAGTGCATAGATATTTCGCTGAATGTCTCTTGAAAAACGACCATCAGCACTACCTCGAGTACTCGTATTTTCGTCCAACAGCAATTCTTAGAAAAAACACTCACTCGAGAACTCGTCACATTATAAGAAGAGTGTAGTTAAGCACGAAAACTTCGAGTACGCACTCGAGTAATCTCACTACTCATGCTGCAAGGTCGTACACACCGGAGCAGTACTTTCACTAAGGCAGTTATTTTCTACTTCAAGCGCGTTATAATTTTCCTTTTTCTAGGCCACTATAACATCAGTTTCTGTTCTCAATCCAAATGAATCTCAAATCACAAGCATGATTGCCGAAACTGATTATAATGTTAATAACAGCACGAATCTGGATGGATTACGAGTAAATTTTCAGCCTAACGTTGACTTCAATACTCATATTATTATCACATTGAAAACAACAATGGCAAATGCTATTTTTCCGAAAACAATCCAACTGGCTATTTACGGATGTGGCCAACCAAGCTTACCAGTAACTAAAGCACAAAT